TACAGTGGCAAAATCACATAAACCTGCATATATAGAAAAATTGGACAGCAGAAATTTTTCGAGGTTGCATTTTTTTTCCTCAACCATATGTCTACTTACTTACTTACTTACTTACTTACTCCATGGCGCTGCAGCCATACGAGGGCCTGGTCCTCCTCCACAATCCTATTCCACTCTTCTCTATCCTTGGCGAGTCTCCTGTATATTCTGATTTGCAACTCTCTCCATACCATCTGATCATCTTAATCGTGGACATCCTCTAACTCTTTCTCCTCCAGGCTTACCATCCAGTCATTGTTTGAGTATCCTTTGCCGGCATCAGCTCTACATGTCCCAGCCACCTCAACTGATTACATTTAACAAAAGAAACCAGCTACCTGACCGGACCTTTTTCCTTCTTTATCGATTGTTTATCGATATGAGATTTTCCAATGAGCAATTTGTCCACTACACAATTGAGTATAATTCACAGTACAACCTCACATTCATATATATTATATATTCCTTCTCATTCCCTAACCCAATGTCACATAAAGGAGTAAATACCGGGGGATGTCTACTACAGGTTCTTGGACCATTTCTTTCACCTCCTCATTCTTTCTTATTCTCCAGTTGCTGTTCTCGCAGACCGATCAATATATTCTTCTGAGTACTTTTCTTTCCCAAACTTTTAACGTTCTTTCACTTTCTTTGGAAAGTACCCAAGTCTCACATCCATAAGACACAACCAATGGCTGTTTTATATAATACAACCTTAGCTCTGTTGGTCAGACCTGGAATTTTAAGCGTTTTTGAAGAGCTTAATAAACCCTATAATAAACCCTAATCTATTAGTAATTTCTTCTTGGTGTTCATTCTTTGATGTGACAAGAGCACCCAAATACTTCAACTGGTTTGCTAGCCTGAAGGTGTGGCTTCCAAATTTAATCATTTCTTTCATTGTCTCTAGTGGGTTTCTTGTTGATTTCATGTAGGCTTGTAAATAACCTGTTAATGGTTAATTTTAAATAACGTGTTTGCCGGGAATAGGCAATAGCCTTCCGCTTTTATATCGGGGAACTAGGTTATTTACACTCGTGATTATTAAAACAAAACCCCAGCACTGGATACAGACTTTTTGAGGGTGTTTAACTGTTATTGGGAATTCGGGAATCTAATACCTTTTATGACACTGAGTGAGAAGAAACAATAAGAATACATATATGAAATGTGGGACTTAATAAACACACTTTGAATGAATTGACTCACCTGGTTTGTTATTCTTCAATTGAGAGGCATATAGGACAACTAAATAAATAAATGACTTTTCACTTCTGTATAACAAAATGATTTATTTCTACAACTGTAATAAATTGACTCTATAAAAGTGTTATAACTATAGACTTGATCTTCTAAATCTTGTAGTAGACTCTCTTCCCAGGTATGTCGTTCCGCCTCAATGACCAGTCTCAAGTCCGTCCTCCTCTCTTCTGACAACCTCCTTTCTACCTGTCCCGGCCTAGAATGCCCTCTACCCTCTCTAGCTTTTGCTACCAGCTGGTACCTTTCGGTACCTCCAACCTTCTCTTCTTCCTTCTTCATCAATTATTTATCGATATGAGACTTTTCAATGAATAATTTGTCTACTGCACAATTGAGTACAATTCATCGTGCAACCTCACATTCCTATATGTTATATATTCCTTCTCATTCCCTCACACAATGTCATATAAAGGGGTAAATACCGGCGGATGTCTACTACAGAGTGTATTTCATCTTTTACAGAGGCCTAACTTTTTTGCAGCATGTTCTTTCTATTCTAACTTAATTTTTTATCACTTCTTTTGTTAGAATATGAGGCGAAAGGAAATCAGGCATCTCCAAAATCTTTAAAATATAATCAAAATGTATTTTCAGCGTAAAACATGGTAAGCATATATAGAGGCGATACTTATTTCATGCGCTAAAATATAATTTTTTCGATGCAGGACGGAATTACTTAATTTAAGTGTTAAACTATGGGTGCAGGAGGGTAATGATAATTGTCCGGTTTGTAATTCCAAGAAAAAAGAAGACAGGATGCACTTCCTGGGGTCCTGTCATGTCTACAGTGAGATTAGGGAAAAATATTTTGGTCGGCAGACATGTTCGCCGGAGGAATGATTTAGTCTATTGAGGGATGATAATTAGAAAGCCCGAAGTATTTACTTACAGCAAGTCACATTGCAAAGAGTCCAGTAAGTCAATTTGTGAATGATTAGTGGAATGCCATATTTATTTGTTGTAGAAAGTATTCGTTTGTTAATGTTATATTTTTTACAGAAAAAAAATTATCTAGTTAGATATTTACTACTTACCATTATAATTTATTGTTTTATTGCTTGTTGGTCAAGTTTTACAAACTTTTAATGCTTACTTAAAAAAAAAATTATTGAAGAAGAATTGAGAACTGGAAAACAATTTTAAAATGTTATTGATAATAATATAAACATATTACTGGTCATTATTTTGCTACGGATATAAAATGGAACATGTATTGTAGAAATATCACACAGACCTCAATAGAACGGAATTTTCCATTGCCTATGTGTTTTAACATTTATATGAACTAGTTTTCGCCCAGTGGACGAAATTCGACCATAACCATTAAATTTGAGGAAAACATATAATTAAATAAAAAATAAATAAAGTGTAAATCACGATTAAAAAATCCTCATTTATTAATAAAAACAAAATTTCAATTTCAATTAAAAATTCAATTAAAGCTTAAACTACTAAGTAATACAAAATAGACTCATTAAAAAATATTTAATTTGAATTTTAATTTATGTATGTTATTATTATTATGATTAAGCAAGTAAAAAATAAATTTAAATTAGCCATTTCAATTCAGTTTAAATCAATTTTTATGTAGAATTTCTCTGTAAACAATGTTCTTTTTGAATGTTCTGTTATTGTTTAGTGCATAGCCATGCCCATTGCCATTGGAAATATAAATTCCAAAATTTTAAATGAACGTGCTCTACTTGCTGCCACATATAATTGTCCATGCGAAATTACTGGGCATTGCAATAATACACAAATTTTTCCAAAACTTTGACTCTGCGATTTGATTATGATCATAGCGAATGCAGCTATTAATTAAAACGTTATTTGAAATTCGAATGGAAGTATTGTGTCAGCAAATATTAAATTAATTCTTGGAATTAAAATTCATTTATTTAAAGTAGCTCCTGTTAGTACTTCACTCTCATTCGTGTTCCATTAACTAATGCTTCTGCTGTATTTAAGTCAATAACGAGTATAACTATAGAATTTACCTTTAAATTTAATTTATGAGATAACAATTCACTAGCATTCAATGATATCAACTCTTCAAATCATAGTCCTGATTATTTCATTAAATGCGAAGTTTTCGGTTTATCAAAAACCAAAATAATGGAAATCGTCTTTGCAAAAGAAAAAGTACTAAATGTTTATAATGATATATCTCTGCAACAAATAGTCTGATTTCGATGATTTTTTTAATTTTTATTTTGTAGGGAATTCAGAAAGTTTTCAAATATATAATTGGTATTATCAATAAAAATGTGTACTTTTTGAGTTATTCACAAATAAAATACTGAATTAATCATAAAAAATTATGTAGCTTGTTTTTGGGTAAGTATGTTATATAAATAAATTATAACTGTTTAATGGTGAAGACTTTAGCCAAGTTGCACTAAAATCATTGTAGCCATATTGTCGCTACAGTCTAAAGTGAATCAGGTTTTTTTGGCTGTCATTTCGAAAGGAAAGGCCTGATGACAATTAAACGTATACAAAAATTATTGCGAAGTTGTATCAAAATTTCAAAGAAATCGGGAAAGAACTTTCGGAGATTAGCTGTTTTGAACAAACTACTATTTATATTTTTATTTACATACACTATTTCATATTTTTATTTATTGATATCACTAAAGCTCTTCCCAAAGAAAGAAACAAGCAGTAATATTAAACAAGTTGCCTCGTGCGAATAATTTGCATAATATATTGGTCAGTGAACAAATGACAAAATAATATAGAAATAAGTTAATGCAATGTATTAGCAGATAAAGGAATTAATATTATTTTTCTCAGTCAAATTACAATAGTTCATTCATAATAACAAACCAAAATGTGTAAAAGTTATTGTTTATATTTGCTAATAATGGCCAGATTTAGATGATTTTTTTTTTTTTGGTTTTTGGTTTTATATGGGTAGCTCAGTGGTAGGGCACTAAGCTTCTAATGATCAAGGTCTCAGGTTCGAATAAGGCTCAGGGAAGAAAAAATATTTATTGTTTCATTGGCCGTGGGGTAGGGAGACCCTCCTGGGGCACACACAGCCTCTAAAAAGCAGGTAGTCTCAATTAAAATAATTAACTAAGGGGGAAAACCTGGCGGTTGAGCGTGATCCTGGCCCGATCCCCTCCCTGCACAACCGTTGGCCTTGAAACAGTAATTTCCCTAAATAGTACTGAACCGAAGATCCTTCACGGGTTGTAGTGGTACAGGTTTTTTTTTTTAGGGAAATCCATGATAAATTGCATACTTTTTGAGTTATGCGCAATTAAAGTTTTTTTTCTTAATTTTTTTCCTTGAAATTTTGATGGGAGGATATGTCTATTGTTCTCATCTAAAGGAGAAGATAATCTTCAAAATTATGAATTAATCATTGGAATTAAACTTTTGAAATTGGAAAAAAAAAATTAATTATATTATTAATTTAATTCATTTTGGAAAATATTGCCACCATCTAAAAAACGAGTGTGGGAAACGAAAAAAAGTGCTCCTATTCTATAAGATGTTTTCATAATGAAAGCATAGTTCTAGATCATGGTTCAGACAGCAGTTTAAACAGGAATACCAGACTACACTGGTGGCCGTCTTTCATGAATAACTATATAAAGACTCGCTATATTAACAATCGTTAACAACTATATTGAAGTTGATTTCAACTTTGGTTTGATGGGTATATATTACCTTCATAAAAAATAAAATAAAATATGAACACATTTTATTTTATGAATTCCTTATTATTATGCTTTTTTTTAAAGTAAGACCTCCCTGACCAGATATTGTGCTGAATGCTACTTAAATTCAACTTTTGCTAGGGTCACTTTTACTCTTTCTTAAGGAAGTTGTTGATTTTTTTTTTGACCAAAAATTGATTTTTCTAAAACAATTGAAGAATTTTTCTTGAACAGAATTTTTCTTCTCGTTTTCAAAATTGGTTATATTATGCTTGGAAAGCTGATTCATGTAAGGAGATGTTGTTACATGACTTGCAAAATATAAATTTGTATTCTGAATATTTTCCTCTCTTTTTGATGTTGAATTTTCATTAGATAAACTGCCATTAATAATGGAATCTTGTACTGTATGAGTTGTTTGCATTTGATTCTTTTTTAGGTTCATTATGAGGCTTGATTTTTCTTTTTCTTCACTTATAATCCTGAAATTTTCATCTTTTAAACTGCTTGATGGAGTTGTTAAGATGGATTGTAGGTTATGGCTTGAGTTATCTAAGCTGCAATTGGAAGAAAAAAATTGTTTGTTTAGTTTTTCTTTATCAGATACTTCTTTTTTAAATGTTTTGATAATATTGTCTATATAACAGCTGGGAATTATATCTTGTCGGCTGAGGTTGCCTTCAGGTCCTAATTGAAATAGTAACTCATTTTTTGAATGTGTTGGTTCTCTTTTATCAATTAACGTAAGCGACTGTTGACTCTTTGTGATTAAAGCTTCTTCCTCGTCATTTTTTTCTACCTTTTTCGTTTTTTGATTTGGTTTCATTAACAGTAGCAGTTCTTCATATGTATTAACTCTCATAATTTTATTTATCATTTCGTCAGTGCGTTTTTCAATTTCAGAATATGTCCTGTCCATATCTATGAGGCTATGTTTGCTTTTAGATATTAAATGGTATTGTAAGTCATCATCAAGATATTTAGGTTTTTTTGATTCTATTGGGAAATTATTATTGGAACCTCTACTTGAACCTAGAAAATTGGTTTCACTGTGTTTAAAAAAGCAATCGTCAATATCTTCTTTTCTTCCCATATTTTTTTTTTGAGGATTGCTACTTGTATTGTCTGATGTTTCTTCTAAACCAAATTTCAAACCATGCTCCGAAATTTCTTTATCATGCATTGTTATTGTATTACTTGTGGTTGCTGCTAGTGAGTTTATATATTCTGAAAGAGTATTGAAATATTTTTGACCAGCATGTGTTGGTACAAATGATGAATCAATATTTTTATCTTCATCTTCACTATTATTTAATGGCATTTCGTATTTAGATTCTCCTCTAATGGCTTTTTGAATATTATCGTCAGAAGCTTGAATGTTTCCATTTTTAAATAAATCTTTAACTGTTTTAGCTTCCATCAAATTATTCGAGTAAGTAAAATTCTCATTATTCAAAATTGATATGTTTGGTTCCTGAGAAACTTTTGGAAGTTGAACTTTTGTTTCAATGTTTACTACTCCATAATTTTTTGATTGTTTTCCATGTAAAACATCAACCAGCGAGTGAATTTTGGCTGCATTATCTATTTTGTTTTCATCTGTTGATAATTTATTTTCTTTTTCCCATGTTTTAGGTAAAGTATTAGTGATCAAATTTTCAAAGTCAGGTGAAATATTATTTCTAGTGAAAATGTTTTTTTCAATTTGTTCTGAGCTATCTAATATGGTCTCTTGATTTTCTCGTGATTTTTTTAGAACTACGAATTTGACATTTATGTTATTTGAAAACTGATTATCATTTTCACCAGCTTGCAATTTTACCTTTGTTTGATTCTTATATTGATAGTCATTTAAATTATTATTTATACTATGTTGCAATTCCATTATTTCATCCGGAAGCTGATGATCATTTCTTAAATTATTTAAATTACTTTTCTCTTCATTTTGTGGTTTTAATACCGTTTGCTCTGGAAACTGATGCTCATTAATTATATCATTCAAATTACCTTCTATAGCATCTGTTAGTTGTATAAAATCGGCGGTATTGGAATTTTCATTTACTTTTATCGAATCACAATTCGAAGAATTATCTGAGGCGACACTTCCTTTTGATGGAGTCATTAATACCTTTGAACTGTCCAAAGACCAGTTCTTCTTTATATTTTGGTAAAACTCATCTGACTCGCTTGTTAAATTTTCTAGTGAAATAAATGTCATGGAATTTGGACCAGTATATATTGATGTATTAGGATAAATTATATTATTGCTCGGTAATCCAATTAAATCAGAAACAATGCCCTCTGTGTTCAATATGTTATTTAAATCAGGTTTAATCAATTTATCTGTGTTTAATGTTTCTGATTTTTTTATATCATGACTGCTGAAATATTCTTCATTATTGTTTTTATTTTCTGATTCATTATTATTTGGAAATTCGTTTAAATCATTAGGAAAAATGCTTCCACTATTTTGTTTATTATTTAAATCTGATTCCGTCAAGTTATCTTGAATATTTTTTAATATTTCTGATTCTGTTATAAATGGGCTGTGGACATATTCTTTATTTCGATTTGTATTGTCCGAGGAAAATTGTGATTCAAATAATTTTTTTTCTTTTTCATCGTTAGACACATCAATTATAGAATTAGGAAAAATTGTTTCACTAATTGATAAATTATTTAAGTTTGATTTCATCAAGTTGTTGGAAATATTTTTTAAAGCTTCTGAATCTGTTGTAAATTGACTGTGGATATATTCTTTATTTTGTTTGGTATCGTCTGCTGCAATTAGTGATTCAAATACTTTTTTTTCTCCTTCATCGTCATTAGGGAATTCAATTATAGAATTATGAAAAATTCTTTCACTAGTTGATATATAATTTAAATTCGATTTCATCGAGTTCTCTGGAATATTTTTTAAAGCTTCTGAATCTATTGTAAATTGACTGCGGATGTATTCTTTATTTTGTTTGGTATCGTCTGATGCAATTAGTGATTCAAATACTTTTTTTTCTCCTTCATCGTCATTAGGGAATTCAATTATAGAATTAAGAAAAATTCTTTCACTAGTTGATATATAATTTAAATTTGATTTCATCGAGTTCTCTGGAATATTTTTTGATACTTCTGTTTCTGTTGTAAATTGACTGCTAACATATTCTTTATTTCGGTTTGTATTATCTGTTGAAATTTGTGATTTAAATAATTTGTTTTCTCCTTCATTATTTGGAAATTGAATTTCGGTATTAAGAAAAATACTCTCACTATTTGATATAATTTTTAAATCTGATTTCAACAACTCTTCTGGAATATTTTTTAAAGGTTCGGATTCTGTCGTATATTGACTGATGATATAATTTTTATTTTGGTTTGCATAATCCGATGATGCATGCGATTTAAACGCATTATTTTCTTCTTCAATATTGCTTTGATATTCAATTAAATTATGGGGGAAAAGGCTTTTCCTAGTTCTGTCTGAAGTCATCATATCATCAATACCATATTTTAATCTATTCGATCTTGTGCTAGATTCGATGCGAAGGAAATATTCTTCGTTTTCTTTTGAATGGTCAAATGAAGGAAGTGATTTCTTCTCTTTCTGGATTGGATCATATTTGGATTTATGATTGGTTGAAGAATTGCCCTTTGAATTTTCTTCCTTTGATTTGATCCTATAAAGTGGTTTATTTATGGTTGATTGTTTACTGGCTACCCTTGGAGCTGTACCAGCAACTTGGGATTTTCTTTTGTTTTTTGATGTACTATTTTGATTTTTCCTTCTGAAACAATTATTTTCACATTTATTGAAAACCAATTCTTTATATTATTTTGAGTAATTTTTTTTAAATTGTTTAAAAAATAACTAATGTTATATATATTGTAAGGTTACGTTCCCTTTGAAAAGTAAACAAAACAGTTCCTGAATCAAATAATATTTATTTTAATCAATAATCAATTCTCAGGTTGGGTTGAGACAACAACCACACATCCTCAATTATACAATATAAAATCATACATTTATTGTACATAACATTTATAAATTTCCATTTCCCGGTCTACTCTTGGTGCGCTTTCGAACTGTCACTATATATTTTTCACTTACCCTGTTGTGCAGTGAATCTTCCTCTGTATTGTTGCATTCAACTTCTTTCAATCTTCTAATCTTCCTTTGTTGACACTAACTTATTTTTAACTAACATTTTCTTTTCTCTATCCTCTTTTCTAGCCGGCTGGCTACCTTCTGCCTCCATCCGGCTCTTCTTCCCACACCATCTGTCATTCTTTGTTCATTATTGACAGTAGTTCACGACGTCACTACCTTTGTGCCACTATTCAATATCATTATGTAATATTTACATTACAATATATTGTAACATCTGTCTTATATTTCTCAAAGAATAATAACATAACCTTGGAAGCTCACTTCTTACCATTGGGTTACTTCCAAAATAAATAAGAGGTTGTTTAATAATTAACAAAATTATAACAGGATTAATATATTTATTTATCTCAGGTGTGGGTTACTGAAAATCAGATCAAAACAATCAGACAAACTAACATTAACTATACTAAATATTTTGATTTTAAAATATGGATTGGCAACTAACTTTTTTTCTATATACACTGTTTCTTCCTTTGTTGCACTAAATTCATTTGTCTTCAAATGCTTTCCAATGTTCTGTCAAACACAACTTCCAAAATGGTAATACTATTACTGGGTTTTTCCCACTGCAGCCAGGATCACTTCTCCTATCCTCTCTTCATTCCAGTCACACAACAAATGCTTGCCAAAACAAAAGCTTTTGTCCCTCTCCTCGTTGGAATTTTCCTTCTTGGGAAACTACAGAGCAGCCATTTTCTTTTTCCTTCACTAGTAGAACTAGATTAGCTTGCCTTTTAATTGTTCAACATTAGTTTATTTAAACCTTTTTACTCACTTCCAATAAAGGTGTAAATTACAATATATATATATTTGTATGTATATATATATATATATATATATATATATATATATATATATATATATATATATATATATATATTATATATATATATATATATATATATATATATATATATATATATATATATATATATAGTAACGTTCCCTTTGTCAACAAAAATCAAAACAAACGAGTTCCTTTTTTAATATACTATTTATTTTACACATATAACATAATCTCAAGTTGGGTTCTGACAACTGAACACTCATTCACATTTAATAAATACAATGTACACTAATTACTAAATACATATAAAGAAACGAGATACATACATTAAGAAATTATACATTCAAAAACCTTTATTGTCCCAGTCTAAACTTTGTGGTTCTTTCTATTTTCTCAGCTTGCTGGCTTCTCTCTTGACAGCTTGTCACATCTTCCCTTGGCCACTAGCACCTTCCCTCTTGGCGGCCTGTCGCAGTCTCTGTCACATGAGCTTGCTTCCCCCACTTCTTCCCTGTAGTTCATGTTCTTGCCACTTTCGCTATTTATATTTATATACCGTGTAATGTTGACATTACAATATATATATATATATATATATATATATATATATATATATATATATATATATATATATATATATATATATATATATATTTGAAAATATTCGGAAGTATATTTGAATATGCTCCAATTTTTATATAAATGCAGTAAAAAATATATTGTAAAAATGGCAAAATATATATACTGCTCAAAAATGAATAGGAATATTATTAGTTATGTTATTTTAGTTGCTTATTTTTCCCAAAATTTTTATTTTATTTTTATCATAAAATATATTGAGAATTAATATAAATAAGATTGTATTTGATCTTAGAAAATTTTATAAAAGATGTCTACAAAAAAAAAATAAATCAAAGGTTTATGTGATCTTGTTTTTATAATTGCGAATTTTAAAATTTAATAATTTGTGTAATAGCCTCAGTTGTGCACGACCTCTCTGCAACTATTGTGCATACTGTTTATAATATTGTCACTGATTTCACAGGAATTTCATACCATAAACCATAATACCATGGTAATATTGCTAAAGGTTATTGAGCTGCAAATGGTAATCAATACGCCTTCTCTGCAGCGCATCCCACATATGCTCATGGAGATTGAGATGTGAAGACAATATGGAAAGGAGTAGATGTGAAATCTCCAGATTTTCTAGATAGTGAAGAAACAACTTTTCCTCTTGCGTATTGTCGTCAAGAAAATGGAAATATGTCACTCTGCTTTGAGGAATGTACTCCTCTATAATTCCTCGAACATAAGAACAGCAATGAGATTATCTTCTACACTATGGAGTAGAGTCCGCCCTCCTGAGTAAATTGCACTTCTAGACTGCAAGGAAGAACAAACTGTGACAGAATACCTATCCGCCCCATAAAACCCATTACGGTCACTTTAAATAAAGAAACTCAACTTTTGAAATGAAATGAAAAAATAATTTTATTCTGGGACTACTGTCCCCTAAGAATAATAACAGAGTTACAAATTTATGTATCTTAGTCTGACATAGTAAAAATACACACTAATTTATTGTTAATTGTTATTTCAATTGAAATTAAACATTGTATAGATGCAAGTAATTTTACATGTTAGGGGAAGTTTGAATGTGGAGTAGGTGTTGGAACAGGAGTTGTTTGAAGAAATTTGTGGATGAGAATTGACGCATGGAGGTAGGAAGTGAGTTCCATAAGGAAGCAGCACGAATGACGAAGGATTTGCTGAAGGAGGAACTTTTATGGGAGGGAATATATAAGTCTATAGGTTGAGACCTAGTATTGAGATATTGGATAGAGGAACGCAGAGTAAGGAGTTCCAGGATGTAGGGAGGGTTTTTGGTTCTAAAGACTTGGAAAAGGAAAACGCCAAGAAGGAATTGTCGTAGGGAAATAGGATAAAGCCACTTCAACTCAGTGTACCATAGTGAAACATGTGAACGCCAGGGGATCCCGAAAATGTATCTTATGAAACAATTCATGAGTCTTTTTAGTCTCATTTCCAGCCTGGCAGATAGCCCTCCATACACCAAGCAGCCGTCGAAGTGGGGAAATACAAGGGAGGTTACAAGGAGCTGTCTGGTTTTTAGAGGAATACAATCACGGAATCTTAGGAGTTGTTTAAGGGCAGTTATGGATTTTCGGGTAATCTGGGAGATATGATTATCCCAGGAGAGGTTCTGGTCAAAGGTTACTCCTAGGTTTTTGACTGTAGGGAAAAAATGGATGGGATGGTTATTGAGGTAAAGTAGAGGAAAGTAAGGAAGGGAGCTGATGAGATCTCTGGACCCGATGATAATAGCCTTGGTTTTATCTGCATTCAGCTTTCATTCATTTATTTCTGCCCATCTGTTGATGCAGTCGATGTTCTCTTGTAGCCTCTGGGAAGCGGGTGTTTTTAGAGGTGCGTGACGATTGAGGAAATCGAGGAGGTTGGAGGAAAAGCATTCAACCATATCATCGATGAATGGGAGAGAATAAAACTCAACTTTTCTGTATAAAAGCAACATCCTCATTAAAGTGCTCGCTGCACCATGATCTACGGAGTTGTTGGGGACACACTGTTGCTGCAGGTCGTCTTAAAGGGGCATAGGATGTTAGGCTAACTTTCCACAAATTATTACAAATGGTTGGGGCTTGGCAAGAACATTGAACACTTTATTTAGGCTCTGTATGGCATTATGAAAAAGGTTGCTTCTTGCAGTAATAATTCCGTCATTCCTTGGTGCAATAATATGCTGAAATCCGCTAACTGGTACTTCCAGTTTTTCTGAATCTGGTTAAAATTCAGGATACCACAATATCGGAGATGCCTGCTGCATCGACAATAACTTGCCAGTGCCCTTGACCGCTCATTCACACGATAATATTGCGAAAATCTGGTTCAATATTATGTCTTTCCTTTGTTAAACTGAATATTACTGTAAAAAACAACTGTTGCTTTACAAAAAGAGTATTATTCATGTTGACTATTCTTTAGTTAATAATTTATTAAAAATAAAGAATACTTGTTGTTTACTTTTTATGTTTACCAACAAATAAGAGAATCCCTAATGAACAAAAAAAAAAAGTGTATTTTAATAAAATAAGTATAAAATAGAAATGTCGCTATTCATTTTTATAGCAGTATTTATATAAAACAGTACTTGTTCAACATAATACAATGAGAAGTCATAATTTGACTTTGATAACTTAAAAAATAGAAAAATTCTGGAGCTATTTTTATTACAAAATATGAACAGAATAAAGTGAACTTTAAGACAGATGCAATAAATATAAAAAGCCATTATACAGACATAATAAATAAATAAAATATTAAATGAAAATAAAAGATTCATATAAGCATACAATTGAGTTATATTTTTCATAAAATAAAAAGAAATATCATAAATTATTAATAAAATAGATAAATATGTGATTAGGAAAATAAAATACTGAAAATAGTACACAAGATCTTTTATAGGGTTATTAAATTAGATATAAAACCAATGTGTGTTTCCCAGAATAAATATAAATGGGTACAAATTAATAGGGATATATTTATTTTATTTTTTTTATTAAAATACTTCATTTTTTTTTTGTATATATATATATATATATATATATATATATATATATATATATATATATATATATATATATATATATATATATAGAGAGAGAGAGAGAGAGAGAGAGAGAGAGATTGAGAGGGGGAGAGTCCTATTCTGGAAAACACACATTGGTTCTCAGTATATAACATGTATGTATTTTATTTATTAAATATGACTAGATTTTTAAAATGATTTCTACTTCTGGGATAAACCAAAAGCATTGTACCATATTTATTAAAAGTAATCGTTAAAAGTATTTTTTTAAATGTTATCTAGGTTACATTTTTTGAATTCGTATTTATTTATTGTAAATGATTAATTTTATTAAATTATTTTCTTGGAATGGAACAGGGTTGTATTGGAGGAGATCTCCGAAAGACCAGTTTCTAAATGTTATACTGATTAATTGACATTTTATAGAGTCAGGGATGCCCATCCCCTCCCCAAGGCTGATGGCGCATGCCCCTCTCCCCCCCCCCAAAAAAATATTATTGCCCCCTTCACTTATATAATTAATATGAGATGTATTATCAATGTTAGTTCGATAATAGATAGTAGATATAACATTGGTTTATTTCTCGAGAATATTAAAGGCACAATACATTAGGCAATTAAAATCAATAAGTAACGTCAGTAGTATTTAAAGGAGACAGCGGCTCCCCCCTGCCCTCCTCTGCGTATGCCCATACCATGAATTTTTTTAAAAATATTTTTTCCTTTTAAATAAGAATTTCATCTGAAATAATTGCAAGAGCTTTGTCAAATATTTTTTTATTTGTTGCTACTTTATTTTAAAATGTTTCCGTGTCCTATAGCCAAAGACAAGGCATTAGTTTTATTTATTTTACACACACAGTAAAGGTACCGCATACCGATATTTCAAACAAGCGGTACCCTTTTTTTTTTTTTATTTATTTCTTGGTTTTATGTTCTCTTAAAATTGAAAACTTAATGTGCGCTCCGTCCTAAAAATTCTGATGGCACAATTTGCGCCATACAACCCTCCTGTGGGCACCCTTGTATAGAGTTCTTTTTATCTTACAAAAATACAAATAAAATATAGAATATAAATGGTAACATGGCAATATATTGCAACTCTTAATTTAAAAAAAAATAATTTGTTTTTCAATTTAATGTTAATCTACCGTGCATAATAACTGGTAAGCAGAAATATATAGAGTTAGAATATTTGTTATCTCAATATATATATATATATAAATATGAATTTTAAAAAGTTTCATATATAGAAGTATAGTTTTTCTAGAAGATAAAACTTAATTTTCTTGCTATCCAAAACTTGGATTATTGGATGAATACCAATATTTGAATGGTTTGTTCTTTTTTATTTGTTTAATGGGAAACAGATTTTTAACAGGATTGTAGGCTTGAAATATAAAATCTTATTGGATTTTTTTTGCAATTCCGTAATAAAATACTTTTTTTTTCTTCCAATTTTGAACAAAAAGTTTATATTAATTTTAATTCTACCAAGACTTAGAGGATACTCCCCATTAATAAATATATGGCAGCATAGTATGGAACAGTTTTTATTTTTTGTTCTGTCTATTTTGGTTAAAAAAGTAAATTATTTGTAATAAATTCTATAAAAAATAAAATAATCCATCATTTATCTTGAAAAAAAAAAAGAAAAGCGAGTTTACCAGATGTGCTCATTCTCTCCCTCTCAATGGCAGATGAACCTATCGTCCCACTCCCAAGATATTTTATTGTTCACCTTTTCTTAAAAACAGAGCAAGGGAAGGTAGAATTAGATCATATACAAATGTGCCCTCCTCAAAAATTCAAAAATACACCAAAATATGCTCCGCTGCAAAACTTTTGAAGGCAGAAGTTGCTTGATCAAACCCTCTCTTGGGCACCCCTGAACCTTACAAAAAACGTGACGCCTTTCTGAATGTCAAATGCACTTTTTCAGAATGATATGGGCGTTTTAAAAATCTATCTATTCAATAATGGACTGCGACATTCATAAGATTTTATTTTATTATAATTACATTTAAAAAATATCTGGTGTGTCCACTCACACGACTTTCCTACCTATTTCAGAAAAGTTTTTATATCTTTACATATGTTCATGAAGAAACAAAAAAAAATTGAACTACATACATTTTCCTGAAAATTGATCAAAAATAAGATTTGAGTACGATTTATTTGATAAACTAAAGCAATGTAAATCGGCTTAAGGTAGATCAGTGTAAAATTTTAATACTTCCTAATATTTCTGATCAAAAACTTTTTGCCATAGCTTAGTATTGTCAAACAATAATTTCTGTTAAAAGTAGAGGATTAAAAGTAGAATAGTGAAGATTTTATGATGAAGGCAACAGATTTTTTTACTTTCACTTACCTCAACCGACGATACGGCCAACTATACCGACTACTAAGCAGAAAACTTTACATTGAAAACAAGCTACTGATCTACAAGACAATACTGAAACCTATTTGGACTTACGGACTGTGGGGATGAGCAAAATTTTCTAACATCAAGCGCATCCAATCCTTCCAGTCTAAAGTCCTTCGAACAATAGTCGATGCTCTTTTCTATGTAACCAACAAAACCCTACATCATGACCTCAACATCCCATTTGTCCTAGACCTTATCTCAGAAAAATTCTCCAAATTTCACCAGAACCTTACTTACCACCCAAATCCTCTTGCACAATAATCCTATAATCCTCCAAGAAGGTTGAAACGGCAGTGGCCTCGCGACCTTTTGTAGATTGTATAAATTGGACTTCTGGGAATGGCCAGATTCTTCACTCAAGACATAAGTGTATGTGGCTAAAGTGCTCTCGACCAATCTCCGCTGGCTTTAGTACCAGTGACGCGGTTAGGAGAGTAGCGCAGGGTTCTCCTGGAGTTCCCTCGCCTGATTGTATATAGGTATGCATGTGTTTTTTTTTTCTTAGTTTTCATTTTCTTATTTTTTCTTTATTTTATTTTATTGTCTATTGTATATACTTTTGATTATTATTTTGTTCTATTTATTTTATTTTTTTGTACATATAGTGTGTATGTCATCCTACCTCACTATAACCAATGTCCAACAGACAGATTGTTATAATACTCAATAAAGAAATTTAAAAAAAAAAAGAAAAAAAAACTTTCACTTAGTCATCTTTATTCTCTCATTCACCCCTTTCTGCCACCCCTTTCTAAAAAATATGTAAAAAATAGAATAAGCCGTTTCATCGCTAATACTGGTTCGATTCCGATGATTTTTTTTGTTGTTGTTTTGCTGGCAATTTAATTACCTTTCAAAAGTTGTATTATAAATTTTACCGTATAATATATCCTTAGGGAGTTAGGCCCTATAACATTTTTCTTTTCAGTATAACTTTTTTCCTGAATCTTTTCGGAAATTTAGTCTATATACGAAAATTGAAAGAACAATGATTAGAACATTATAGGAAAGTTTCATCAAAATCGTTATAGTCGTTTTTGCGCAATAGTCTATAAAAAGACATGTTTTTCATTTATTGCGCAAAAGCTATTGCGCATGGAGCACCGAATTTCTGTCACAGGCATCAGCAGTCAAAACCCTACAAAATAAAAAAAGACGCAACAAAAACTGTTCAGTAGTTTCTGAGAAAATCTTGGCACAGACAGATAGACAGGCAGACAGACCAATGGCTAAAAATGTGTTTTTCGGACTCAGGGGGCTGGGAAACGTATAGATACGTCGAAAACCGCATATTGGAAATTTGACCCGATTGCAATACTTTCCTTACCTAGTATAGGTAGGAAAGTAAAAAAGATGGTTATTTTGCTATAAGTTTATTGCAATTTTAAACCAGCAAAAAAGATGAACCAAAGAGATTTATCAGAATTTTGAAAAGTTTGTTTTATTAGCGACAAGCATGGAATGTACTTTGCTATTTTTAAAGGGGACTTGCATATAATTCACTTTTGAAAAAAAGGAGAAAATTTATAAATATTATTTATTTATAAAAAATATATATACATTACCTTTTACGTACATTTTTCGATTTATCGATCGAAAGTTTATCATTATTATTCAATGGTTTCCACAGTCCAATTCGAGCATTTCCAACACCTTCGCAAGTCCCGCAAAACAATACTGGTTCAAATTTTATCTCTCCATTCCATATCCTCCCTTTATGTAGTGATTGCTATAAGTCATAACCATCATAAGTGTTATGTACTTAACATTAAAAAAAAAAAATGTATATATATATATTAGTAACTAAGAAAACATATCTTGATTGTATATACATATCTATATAAAAATAGTGCTTCAAGTATCAATATTAAATTTTAAATATCTCTTAAAAAAAATGAAATATGTAATTAAAAAATCTGATGCGGTGCGCGCATCACACAACTTTCACTTAACACCCTCTTCGTAGCAGAAATAAGTATTTTCCGCCAAAGGGAAAGTGAAAGTAAAAATTATAGACGCCGTATTTATTTATATTTAATTGTGGATATTTTCATTTGTTTAATTACCCATATATAAATTCAAATTTTAATATTTATATCGCTGTAATATATACAATTAAATATTAAATAATACTAAAGATAGCATTTATGAAAAACGCATATGTATCGTTTGATGAACGCAGTTGTGTGAGATTTGTAATTGGTGCCCGGAAATACTACCATGTCTCTCACCACTACACTGAGTTAAGAGTGGCTCTTCTCCTCCATTGGAAGACATTTCCTAGGTACGTTCCTCTATCATATCATCAAACAATCATCGTCCTTCCTACAACCTTCTCCAATTCAAGTCGTCAGTCCACTCCCTCTCTACAAGATCTCGACCTTCTGACCTTTCATTCCTTCTCACAGATCTGCCTCGTTCCAAAACTCCTTTATTGCTCGCTCTGTTAATTTTTGGAATTACCTTCCTATCAAAATCCGACATTCTTCATCCTTATCTACATTCAAAACCCTCCTATTCCAATTCCTGTTCCAAAAACAGTCATATACCAGCTAACCTTTTATGTAAAATTAAATATCATTTATAATGATATATTCACATATAGCTCATAACTTAAATACTTATTATAGATTCGACTTTCTTTTTTTCTCTTTCTTTTTTTTTCAACAGAAACACAGATTTTACTGTTAAGAAGAATTCACATTTATATTTTTTTTTTTCTAAAAGGGTTTATTTATATTTTACCATTGTACATAGTTCTAAGTATCTTAGTATGGTTTCGAGAGTTTTGTATATAGATTATTTTATTTCATTTTGTATATAGTATGTATAACTAATATATATATATATATTTTTTTTTTTACTGATTTATCTTTATCTTTACTTTTTATGTTTGTTTTTATCTGGGCAGATATAAAATTTTAATTTCTGTACTTTTTTGTTATTCTGAAGGGACTTCGTCCCAGAATAAAATTATTTTCTATTCTATTCTATATGTACATAATATTGTCGGAGTCCGTTATGTATTGGTTATGCTCATGTTACGTAACAATGGAAGCTAGTTCAAATCTTTCGGAAGAGCTCGGGCGAGCTCGTATTCCTTCGGTTCCTTCACCTTATCTTCTTATCTTATCTTCTTATATATTATTTCTCAAATATATATCCCTTTTCCGACTCTCAGGAATGATGAATTTTGACGAATGAGGTATCAACAGAAAGAGAATATCAGGCAGAGTGCGCGAATCGTAATTTTGATTCCTAATTTCATACCTGGACTTAAATAAAAGTTTTTTTTTATTCTTTATTTATATTATATTTACAACTGTATACAAAAAATACATCTGGTAAATTCGCACATTGGTATAAAGACATGGAATACATGTTGAGAAACTACCCATTGGTAGCACTCTAATAATATGTCTATATTAGAAGATCACGTGGCCATCTTCTTTTCAGACGCCTCGGAGGGTTATCAGGAATCGAATAGGAAGCAAGGTTAGAGACAAGAGGGTTGGGATGGTTATGAAGTTTATTATGGAAAGACAGATATCTGGATTGGGCCAAATCTGATACATAAGGAACATTAAGGTCATTATGGATAATTTTATTTGTAACAAAGTAAGGAGCATTGAGGATTTTACGAAGGATTTTGGATTGTAAGGATTGTATGCGAGAGGAATTTGAAGGTTTGGTGGAGCCTCATAGCTCAACTCCGTAAGTCCAAATAGGCCTTATTATAGTCATGTAAATCAGTCTTTTATAATTGATTGGAAGGTTAGAGCGTTTGTCTAGTAAGTGTTGAAGTAGTCGGAAACGTCGAGCTGTTTCTTGTCGTTTCAGTCTGGTATGAGGATTCCAAGTTAGACGTTTGTCCAGATGGAGTCCTAGGTAACGGATTTGTTCAACAGGAATAAGTGAGGTGTTGTTAAAGGATACTGAAGGACAGGAAGTCATTGGTTTACGACGAAGGGTGAAGGTAATTTGATGGGATTTATTGGAATTTATTTTAATTCTCCAGTTCTGACACCATTCTTCAAGGTTTGTGATGTGGGATTGAAGGGTTTGGGATGCAATAGATGGGTCGTTATTAACTGATAGGATACATGTGTCATCAGCATATGTGGCGATGACAGTGTTGGGATGTCAGCTGTATAAACTGTGTAAAGGATAGGACCTAGGATACTACCTTGAGGAACACCTGCAGACTGGGGAAAACGGGATGTATAGACATTGTTGTGATTTACTTTAAAGTATCTATCAGTAAGGTAGGAACGGATAATGAGGAAGTATGTAGATGGTAGGAATTTTCGGAGTTTGTACAGCAGTCCCGGATGCCAAACTCTATCAAACGCCTGTTCAACATCGAGAAAGGCTCCCGTACAGTATATACCGCGTCCAATGCATAGGATACTACGTCTAGCACACGATGGCATTGCTGTATAGTGGAATGGGAGGAGCGGAATCCAAATCGGTGATCTGGGATTATGTGATTAGAATCTAGGATTGGGTACAGGCGTTTTAAGATTAGTTTTTCCAGGATTTTTCCCATGATGGGTAACAGAGAGATGGGACGGTAAGAGGATGGATATTCTGGTGGCTTTTTGGGTTTGTGGATCATTTTGACAATAGATTTTTCCAAGGATCAGGGAAATATGTGGATCGGAGTACAGCATTATAAATAAAAGTGAATGTAAATGTGGGAGGTTTCAAACCGTACGATGGTGCCGTCTCAACGAAATGAGACTTTAAAAATGGAGTCAAAATTGGGGAATAATTTGGAAAAGACATAATTTTTGGCCCATTGTGCATTTGTGTACTTGAAAGCTTGTGACGTTCATTCATGAATTACCGTGTAGGGGATAAATTCCCTACAAAACGTAAAAAAAAAAAATCATCGAAACCGATAACAGTTGTGTCTGATAAATATTTACTTTCTTTTTTCTTTTTTTTTTTACACTTATATTCAATTTATATTACTCATGAGAGCTCTATTTCATCAAATTTATATTTGGCATATTTTTATAGTATGGATAAAATGTTGAAATGGGATAATTCGTACCGACCCAAGGAGCAAAGTGGATTCAAATATTTTTTTAAGGAGAAAACAAGTTGAGATATGTATTTCGCATCTCAGAAAATCACCAAATACGGATTTTCATAGCAAACAAATAATGTATTTTTCCCTTTGATTTTTTTCTGGAAATCACAAAAAATGTTATAACTCCAATACGTCTTTAGCTACCTACAAGAAATTCAAAACATTTGGTTTTGTAAAATTAATTATTAAATTCGTTATATTACTATGAATATGGAATGTTATATAATTCATTTTAAATAAAATATCCGTATTCGTACATATATTATTACAGTAAGGCTCTAAATCGGTTTTGTACCAAATATAAGCTCCTGTCGTGCTCAAATACCATGAATGTGGTACCGTTGGATTCAGAATTTCACGGGGGGTTAGTGAATCGTATTCTCCACTTTTGTTTTTCTTTCTAAAATAAATAAAGTCGATACAAAAATTTTGCTAGGCTTCAATACCTGAACGGTGGTAGGTCTGTAGATGGATACAGGACAAATTTGGATCTTGAAGATTTTGTTGCGTTCAGCAAGACCCGGATAGTTCCTCTGGAACTATCGGATCCTGCGTTTTTAAGTCCAAAAACGTACTATTTTCGAGATAACGTAATGCATATACTACAACCTTTCATTAATTGTAGTACTGTCATTGAATACATGTCTCATTTCGTCGACTTGAGGTCTCTATGATCGAGAGAAGAGTAGTTTATGTTATTTATCGATGGTGATTTTGATCGGCAAGCCATATCATCGATCAATTTCTTCACCAAATCTCAAGATTGAGCCACCAATTTCGAAGGCTTCCTTCTCCTTCAGGCTGGCAAAATAGTCCAACCACACCGAAAATTCAGGCAAACAAGTTGTGAAAGAAAACATACTTTATTTGCGAATAACTAAAACATTACACACGTTTCCCTTGGTTATGCCCATGATTATATAAAAGATTACTAAATTCCCTACAAAATTAAAAAAAAAAATCATTGAAAACGGACAATTTTTAACAAAGATACAGCTTACTGAAATTTGTAAACATGTTAGTTCCAAAACAAAAATGAAGATTTAAATTAATTTTTGTTTTCTTTGTCGATTAAATTTATCAATAAAGTAAAATTTGATTTCTTTATCTTTTGGTACGTTGCATTATTTTATTTTCTTATTAATTTGGCATTTGATAACAATATGCTGTGAGAATTTTTCGCACGGGCCTACTAGTTATCTATATATAAGCCATTACATGTTTATCATTTTAAAAATTTACTTGATTATTTTTAATGACAAAAGAAACATTTCTTTATTTTTATTTTTATTTTCTGTAAATACAGACAGCTAGGTCAAAACGTACCTTCCAGAGAACTAAATTCAATGTATTTAGCCTTCATCAGATATTTAAAGGCAATGCTTAGAAGCTTTTGTAAACTTAAGAAAAATATAATGTTATAATTATAAATTTAATGAAACTAGAAAGGGTTAACCTATGGATGGGTATAGATTATTATATTTATAAACTGATAACTTACTAAATAAAAGTATTAAACCTTTGCATAGGAACATTACTGAATGGAACTTACAAATATAAGGTTTGTGCGATGTATTCGCTAGTTACAACTATTCTCTGTTACGGTCTCTTATTTTTCCTTTAGTTAATTA